TAGGGATTGAAACGCGATACTAAGAAAGAAGGCAGAAAGGAAGAGGGAAAACGAGAGTAAGATTCGAGACAGTTTCCTTTGACACACGTTCGGGAGCGCAGCCCTTTAAAGCTGATTAGCCGATGTTTTATATAAGAGTCGATCTAAGTGGATTTACTTAATGCACTTAAAGCGAATCTGACCGCAGCCTTAAGGAGCTTCGGGCACACGCGACACCGCGCGGAACTCACTTTTCAGACGCTGACGCACCAAAACGCGACTCTCGATTCCTTTCTTAAGATACTCTACCACGACGGCCGCCGCTCTTCTGCATTCTCAATGGCCATCAGAATGCAGAGGTCTGGTCGCGGGATGCGTCGCTTTTTCTTGCTTCCACGGGCGTTTTTAGATTGCTTTGAAAATTCCGAGTCTGCACGAACTGCAACTGAACGTTTTTTTATCGAACAGCAAAGAAACGAAAAAAAAAAATTGGTTCAATTCGTTGGTTTATGAGAAACGCGTAATTTCAGCAGGGAAAATTTGAGAAGAGTTTCATCGAACTAGTCCAAATTACAAAATGTACCTTACAATATTTTTAGTTGGAATTTGTAACGGTACGTTTTCAGATTTTCCCTGATTTCCCGTGAAACATCTGAATCACTCTGGATTGCGCACTTTTTTTCTAAGTTTTTTTCTATGTTGCACTTCTAACAAAGAACTGAGAAAATTATGTTTCGCAATTCTGTTTCGTAATAGCAGTGCAAGCAGATAAGTAGGTCTCTGCAATTTCTATGATACGTTAAAAAGATTATTTTATATAAACGGCGAATCGATAGCCGGATAAAATTTTGCTTTATTTATTACAAAGCAAAACTCTAGAAATACCATAAAGTGGTATATTTTCATTGGTGAAAAACCCAATTTTTCAGAATTTGAATTTTAAATTTCTGTTTTACATGTAATAATACAATAATACAAAAATTGTTTATTCATTAATCCTACTTCTATTTACGAAACACTTTGTTCTCTTATAGTTGAGTATTAACAAAACGAGAAATACGGATTAAACACGGATATATTCTCGAGTGTTCAATACAACCAATTAAAAATTATAGCACAACATGGTAAACTATTTACTTAAAAGAGAAATTCGTACAAAATAATTAAATTTACATTATACAACACCAAACTACAAAATCCCTCTAAAACTCCTAGTTACAAGTTCAAATAAAACAACAGTAGAAAGCAGCACTCGAGATTGCTAAAACAACGTTCGCAATTATTCGCCCACGATCAATGAAACGAGTGCAAAACCGGTAACACCTCGTACCAGAACGACAGTGTCAAAATTACAAGTAAAACAATCTCTATTTCGTAGATTTAAAAGTGAGTTCAAGAAGGGTTGCGCGCCTCCACTTCCGGTTCCTCCTCTTAAGTGACGCGCGCGCGCGCGCGCGTATCGACATCCCCCGTAAGAAATTTCAGTTTCCCATTTAAATGGAAGTACAACTGGCGTTAATACAAATACCGAAAATTTAGGTCGTTCAGTTAGCTGTTAATTTATAAGCACCGGTTCAACTACTTCACGTCGCCGTTCGTTATCCGAATGACCCTTACCAACTCTCCGACGATTTATTACCAGTGTATTGTTAAAGCTCTTGGAGCGCGTTCGCAGGTAGAACAGAAACCGACGTTGCACCGAGAGGGGCCAAAAGGCTGCACAGGTTCTCCCTTGTTCCAACGCTCGAAACCAGTGGAAAACTAATAACGACGTGAATCGAGTATATACTCGACGAGGGGGTGAGGGGGAATTACCCGTCTGTCGTTAATCTTTTCTCCAACGTTTCGCGGAAAATTTGTCACCGGACGTTTCCGTTCCGCCGTGTTTCTTCTTTCGACACACTCTCCCAGTCTATCCCCCGTTTTATTTACTAATTTCGGACGAAAGATGCACCCCACTGCGGGGGTTCCCACGATTCTTTCGTTGGAAGAAAAATCTGCAACTCCGTGTATACAGGACTTCGTTCGCGAATAACCAAGAATTTTCTTTACGCTGCTGAGAAAGATTTGAGAAATCCATTTGCAGCTGGGACTGGGGAGGAGGGTGGAACAGTTTGTACAAGCCTTTGATTGAAACTCGCTGGAGAAGTTGAAGAAACTGATAAGAATTGAAGCTGCGAGAATTGTTTTCTTTTTTTAATCAAATTTGATGCTTTTTATGTGTAGTTTAAAATACAGTTTAGTGCAACGAATCAGAGAATTTAGTGATTTTTGTTAGGTTTCAATTTTAGTGATTATCATAGTGATTACAATCAGGTGAAAATTCAGACATGTGGATGCAGCGCGATATATTTTAAAAATCGCCAGAAGAATAAACGAAGATTGGAATAACTGAAAGTTGTATATCGGTGAGTTTTTAAATATTCGCAATTTTTATTGCAAATAATTGCTTGTAATTAACATTTTGAAGAACTAGAAATTTCTTATCTTACCGTTACGATATTTCCAACGGAACGTGTGTAATAAAGTAGACTCATTTAAAATAGACGGTCTATCGATAGTTGTCACATCAATATCCTAAATGAATGCAAATCTCATTTCAAGATTGTTCAAAATGATATTTTACACTTTCGAACGGTACGCGCCTCCCCGTTTCATTTTCCTTGATTTTCTCTCTTTGATTCTCGTTCAGTCAATAGCTACTAAATTATCCTGGGATTGCAAAATTATCTGAGGCAGAATCTGGGCATGGAATAAATCATTTGTCTTGTCCCACGAATATTGATTTTGTTAGCGTATGTGACTATGCAGATTGATTAAAAAAAGAAAAAAAAGGAGGGAGAAAAAGAAAAGGACAGATAGAAAATAGAAAGAAACAGGACAATAATGAAAGGAGGAAAGCGGCGCAAACACGGTGACCTTAAAAGAAACTGCGTCCGAAAATGAAAAATGCATTGAAACTCTTTCGTCCTCATTTACTCCGTGCTTCATTACCGGAGCATTTTCTCGCACACACCATGGGGGGACAAGAAGGCATATTTACGCGGTGGAATATCTTTTTCTTTTCTTTTACCTCTCTCTCTTTTTTTCTTTTTTTTTTTTAATGCATGAAAACTGCGCTTTACCGGGTAAAAATGGGCTGCGGGAAGTGAGGAAACCTCGAAAAGCACGGAAAAGCTTTCACTGTGCTTTCCTTCAGCCGAATCTAGGTGAAGATCGTAATTGCGTTTAAGTACAGATGTTTGAGGCTAAAGTAAATGATCCCACAACGTTAATAAATTTCCTTTCTAGTTGATAAATATAACTGTAAAAAAAAAAAGTGAGAAAGTCTACTGAAAAAAATTATTGGTAAATATTTTCTTTAAAAAAATATCACGTTACAACGTTGGTGCTAAATTTGTTTCGTATTAATCGAAGCCAAAATCGATTGAGTCGTATAGAGATGACACTCTAGCTATATTATATATTCTATGCTTTAACGAGCTTGCAGGCTCTTCTTCAGATGCGAATCTCTTCTGTCTATTAGACAGAATTTTATATTTCGTGTGATAATAAAGAGGGATGAACACGCAAGTACGAACTGTCACGAAGAATTAAGTAGTTGAAGAATAAATCAAATTGGCAACTAGAGGTTTTTGCGACTTATGTATTTACAATCTCTGCTTTATCTGCGCTTCCACAGTTTCTCCTATGTTCGTTCGTGCGTGATAATTTCCGCATACACAAGGTTACTCCCCTGAGATAGGTACTAGGCGCTTTGAAACATTTTAAAAGCGAGCACTTCCTAAGGATCGTGCTTTTTTTCTCCGACAAAAAAAACACACACACACCGAAACTTGCACACAGCGGCGCTGGCTGGCACCGCATCGTGAACACCGTACAAACGAGCATTTTCAATTAAAATTCTTCGCAAATGTTGCGTGGGGAAGTATAGACGGAAAACTCGTACGTAACAATTAACTACAGATTTAAAATTGTTTCGTTGGTTTACCAATATACTCACAAATTAAAACCACGACGAAAAATTATGATGTTTTGTTCAAACGACTTTCAGGAGTATGTGTGTCGTATTGACTATTTCATTACGAACGTCGTACGAATGTGTACTACGAGAATCGTGACAGAATGAAATATGTAATGAGCACGATCTTTCTATGCATAAATATGCAAATATCGTAATAGAAGAAGAAAGGAAACGGCGGAGAGAAAATGTAATATATGACGTAATTGAAATAGAATGTATTGCACACTACGTACGATTGAATAGTTTCAACTTTAAATTGAACGAAGTAGTTTGTAAAGGGCAAATATCGCGGTGTTCGTAGTTTTTCTGTATAGCAAGCAAGAAGCGCGACTACGCACAACTGCACACTTTCGAACGGTTGAAAAATTGTAATTTCTATTCAAGAGTCTAAAATTATGACGTTAGCCGTTAAAAAAGAAAAAAAAGAGTGACAGGTATCGTCATATCACGATACGTGACATTAACGATTAAAATAACCAAGAGAATAGTGAGGACACGATATTCTACGATATATAACATCAGATTCGATTAATGCCGCTCGGTCGCATGGAAAAAGCGTTGGAGTACGGGTAGGCGGTTGATCGCGTAGTCGACGAAGACAAACATCCTCGTCGAAAATGTACTTGCGTAGTTGTCAATCGTTGCAATCACACAGTGTATAATGCACTCTAAATGAACGCGTTCATCGAGCATCGCGACGTATCGATCGCCTTTCGCGAACCGTTTGACAAATAGCACGGCTTTAAGTGTATTTCGAGGAAATTTTATGGGACAAGTGCACCGTGGCTAATACATTGATCGCGATGCGCTTTTCGTGTCAGATTTGCCGATACTTTGCCAACAGAGTGAGAGAGCAAAAGGATAAAAAAAATGTATAAAAATTGCCATCGAGATGACTCGAGAGGAAATTTTAGAGTCGATCGATTTGCGGTAGTCGCGCGTTCTCCGTCCCGTTTTTCCTTTTCCATTCTACCTTGAATCAGATCGGTACTCTCACCTGGGCCCGGTAGACCATCAAGACGCCCAGCAGTGCGGGCACCAGCATCCCCTTCCTCATCTTTCTTCCTCGGCTGGCCTTTTTAAGACTCCTGCACGGTGAACGTCTCTTTGAATTCCTCTCGTAACGATTCCTTCTCGCCCTGATCTTCTACTAAGAATCGACGATGCACTGATTAACAAACGCTAGAAACGTCGCAGAACAATTTACTGTACGCAAATCACCACTCACCCGCCGTATACGAGAGCACAGCGTACTACTGTGACACTGCTGCTGGGTGGGTCGCTTTACGAGAAATCAAGATGGAGGTGAACCGCGGCGCCGGTGCCGCTGAAACGATTCGACCAATCAAAACTTGTCACTAGATGTCCGCGCCGGAGGGTGCGTTCACATGCGCGCAGTGGTCAGTCGATAGTGTGGCGGGAATATCGTGATTTTAAACGCTGCACTTCGCTATTACGGTAATTAGTAATTTTCCAAAGATTTTTCACCAGACGTATTTTCTTCGACGAAACGTTTCAGATTCATCACGTTCAAATTGCAAGGATTTATCGGTGAAGCAACCTTTGAAGGTAATGATTAATTGAACTATGAATATTAAAGCATCTTTCCTGTCTACTTAAACGTATGTTAACATAATGCCAACCAAATGAATTGCAGTTGAAAAGTTGGTAAAGAACATTGTGTTAGGAAAATTAATAATGTAAATTTGAAAGATAGTTCACTACATCTAACGATATTATGGAACAAAGTTTTTTAGAATGATACGGTAGAAAATGATCGGTTACATTATTACAATACATTATAAACTGCATTTGAGAAAATTTGTACATTGTACTTTCTATTTTGGCATTCCTTACTTTTGTTTATTTTCATACAAAGTACCTTTAATGATGTTCAATATCAATAACACTTAAAAACTGAAAACTGTAACAATGGACTATTGAACTACTTACATATTATTAGCATAAAACTTATATATGTATCGCAAATAGCTAGGCAAAATAGACCAAGTGCGTCAACGTTGGAGTGACCGGGTGCCTGACCCGTTGCAAGCCTGTCGAGAAAGAAAACCACATGTGGGTGGCGACAGACCGGTGACAGTCCCCTATTCCGAAGGCACTTACCTCCTACATTTCGACTAGTATGAATTATATCATGTACATGTATAATTATCCATTACCGTTTTGAACCAGCGCGAATTAATGAATTGACAACGCATAATCGCATAAACATTCAGTTAGACGGTAAATTCAATTCATCTATGTTTCACGTCTTTCCGATATTTGATACGGTCAACTGAAATGTCCAGTCGACGTATAGAAACCCTAGCTAATACCAATCGATGATAAAATTTCGAGTGGCATTCGTCACAGTTGACCGCATACAACTGCCAATTTTTCGATTTTCAGGGGAAAATAGAATTACATATTAATATACAAAGAATAATACAGTGGTATGACATCATTTATGGAGACAAGGCTAAAGAGAAGAGCGGAAAAAGACAAAGACGAAGTCAAACTGTATAGGAGAAATGTATCGTGAATAGCATATACATATCGGGAATTGTTAAATTAGACAAATTGTTGCAACTGTATCGCTGTAGCCGCTTACTTTTGGTTTTATCATTTTTATAGTTCAGGCAGCTGTATATATACTGCATTATTACACGTCTCTTGACATTTCGCTTTGTTAACAACCGCCTGTCTCTCTGATTTCTCTATTTTTCGTCTTAGACATTCCGCGCGATAGCCCCCACACCCCTTCTCTCGCTCTCTCTCGCTCCTGTCTCCCTCTATCTCTGCTGAGAAGAATATGAAAACGCACGAACAGATAGCCTTGGCCCATACCTTTGCCCGTGTGTCGGCCACCGTACCCACTGGTTACCCTGGAAACGGTATCGATTTCAACCCTCAGCTATGCAGTAGAAACCAGCAGCACACCATGGGAGTCTCTTCTCGTCCCAAGTTTCAACAAGACAGCCCGTTTAAACTACCGGATTACAGCAACTTCCATTTCTATTACCTTCTTAGATTTTATTTCGGACAAAATCAGCCCATCTACGATAACGTTGCAATCGGAAAATTATCGATGAAATTTTCAAAAAGATTATCTCGCCGTACTGATCTCTCTCTCGTTTCTACATATCGCTAATCGTTTCACATGTTTACTTATGCTAATGTAAAAATCTTTCTCGTGCATATACAAGATAACACGTTTGTCGGGAAAGATTATGTTTAGCTGAAAAACTAAGCGCACTTAGCGTGCCGTGGAATTCAAATAATTCAGCATTATATGAAAAATATCCCGGCACAATTTAATTACTTTTTTTCCAATTTACCACGCAGAGTTGTAAGCGAGTCAAATATTTAATCAAAATAAAAGGGCTGCCCAAAATGCCGATGCAAATTTCGTAATGTGTGGGGTTTAATTGCAGTACTACTACGGATTGTAAAATTGTACAGGATGTGGGTGTTAATTAACAACAGTATTTTGTGCGCTGCTGTTATCTGTTATACATTTCCCAATAAAATTCCCAAACCGAGATTATTTTTATTCAACGCATAGTTAACATCTTTTCAGCGCAAAATGAAAAAATCGAATCAACGTCTGGTCAATCGATTAACATGCAAATGTCATTGGAAAGACTATCTTATTATTGTTTTTGTGCATCTTGAACTTCGTATAGTCCGCAAACTTTATTAGCTGGCACTGCTTTATCTGAAAAGGTAAATAAATTTTTTTGCCACAAATGCTAAAAAATAAATGTGATTACAGATGCGAGTTAAAAAAAAAGAAATCGACTGTACCGATCATTTTTGGATAGGGCAGATTAAGGTTGTTCATTATGTGAACAAATTCATCCAAAGATTTCGTTAATCTCGGATTTAAAACTTTTTCCTCGGCCACTGTCGTTACTGTTCTACCAGAGTAATCGTGAGCTGGATATAATCTATAATTCGACGGTAATGTAAAAATCTGGGAATGAACAGAGTTGTACAAAACTTCTGCAGAACCACCCTATAATAAAAAAAAAAAAGAGGTAAACGCTAATTTCCTTGTAAATTGCGACCGTTAGCTGAAACAATTTGTACTGCAATGCTTCGTATTTTTTAATTATAACACAATGTTACGAAACATAAAACAGAAAAATGACCTTTTTCTTTTAATATTTGATACATATGGTGGCATATATTTACGATGACAATATTTTACTTGAATAAATCATTAAATGTCTCTATATTTCGATGTCATTTTTCAAGCTGTTAACGTCTAAATAAATGATGCGCACCAGTGCGCAGAAATTATCGCGTCCAATATTGAACCAATATAATTTTATGTCAACACGTTTTTCTTCAATGAATTAAGAACACTTCTGACTTCTTCCTGATTGTGTTAGTAAAATACCGCGAATATGCACGTAAGATCATTTTTTTCGTTTCTATATTCTTGTAATAACACGTTTTAAGTCCGTTCGCTTTCCGCTCACTTATGTTTCTCTTTCATTCCTTTCCATCCAGCATCCCTTCCTTTTCGTGTCGCGCTCCAGTTTCACGCATTCTCACCTATCATTCATCAATCATACGACACTCGTTTTTCCTTATAAAGAAAAATACTTTATCCTCGCGTACTCTGGAAATTCCTTACGCTTTTTCCTTTAATACAAACCTGGAAA